TCGTGTCGTAAACATAGTATGACATGGGCGCTCATATAATATCCTCTTAATTAGATCATAGCAACCAAAATTGACAGAGTTGGCCTGGTGGTCTCAAAATTGTTTGGCAAAGATCATGTGTCATGTCAGTATTAATACATCCCACCAGAGAGTGAATGATAGAGAGCCTTTCTACCTAGATATATCTGCCCCAGCTGGTAATGTTCCTGTAACTTCCCAGTAATCAATCATGTACGTTCCTGTCGCCTCGAACCAAGGACATTACCATGAAATCTGTGATCAATCATTTTACAATTTCATTATTTCATTTCAATGAATCTCATAGAAAACTGACTTACAGTGTATAGTATGGTTGTACGTTGCTATTAGCAATATTCCAGCAATATCATGGCGGGGAACACCAGAAATGGGCTTCACACATTGTACCCAAAACTGACGTATAAAAACTAACATGGTTTCATAACGTTATTTTTGCATTGTACAGATAGTAAACGTGTTATTATAAACAGCATAACAAAAATAAAATAAAAGTGCTTACTTCGTATTCACATCATATTAACATATATCACTGAAAATATGTAACTTTTACAGAAACAAAAACTTTTTAAACTTTTTAAATTTAAAAGAACCCCAGTGAGGTTGGAGATTCAGAACTTGGGGAAAATCTAAACTTGCTTTGCATTATAGAAAGGTGTGAAGCCCATTTCTGGTGTACCCGTCGTTGATATTGCTGGAATATTGCTAAAAAAACAGCGCAATAAATACCCAACTCACCATTACAGAAAGGGCTCCATGGAAGGGGAAATGATATATGGCTCGGGGACTGTGGTACACACAATATTTCCATGAAAGATACAGAAAAAGAAAGCTCTAAATGTGAAAATTCTATTATTACTTATGATCCATCAGTGTTTGATTTTCAGATGATTTTTCAAGTGAAAAGCCAGCAATGATCAAGTGCGAGGTTTCAACCATCGGAACCATGTTACAGCCCTAACTGATAAATGCTTGTGGATTACCCAATATGTTTACTTAATCAACCTCCACATACAGAGAGCTTCCCTAATCACCGCTTCAGATGAAGATCAACCTAGCAGAGGATGGTCATGAGACGGCAAGTTACATCGCCAAGGTATCACAGTCCGCTCGTCAATGAGATAATCAAGACAGCAGAGTGAAACTCCAGCCAATGTGCCAATATTTACCTCCACAGTCTGTAATTTACAGAAGGAAAAACACACAGATAGAGAGTTATCACTCTTTGCCTAAAGTTGCCAGTCACAGGCAGGCTCTAGTTTCGAATAATAGATAAGGCATACACTGTGTTTTCCGTTGTTTCAGTAGGTCCTACTGTAGTATTTGTATCAGGAGACCCAAACCGTTCAAATATTGAACATTGTTTTGTACTTTTTGCAGATGATACTATTTGGTCACTTTTGCAAGCATGCTTTTTCTACTGGGAGTTGAACAATTCAATATATTTTCACAACATATTCAAATTCAAATAATCCATGCTCAGCCATTTGACAAATCCTGAGTACAGCTATTTTCAGTAAGTATGTGCTGAAACATATTCATTAAATCATCGCCACGTAACAAGCAGGTAGATCAAGTGTTTTGTGTTCTGATCATATTTTTTAGCAGATAGTTGAAGATACTGCAAATAATTAGTTTCTGTATGGCTCAGAAAGGTTCTGAATTCTAATAACAAAAATAATTTTGGAGCATGAAAAGCATCCTGTTTGGCCCTTCAGATTCACAAAATTCAAGAAATGAGAAAAACATTTCATGTTGTCACACATGTTTGTTTCAATGAGAATTATGTAAAGATCAAAAGCATAGAAACGACCGAAATGTGTTTTCAGGAAGCAGTGACAGACAAAGTCACAAATGTGTAAGTCAAAAAACGTCAACAATACCAAATCTGAATGGACTGGATACTTCCAACAAAATCCAGGTATTTCACATATCCACTGGATCAAAATGAGCTGTGGCCAAGTTGGATTTAACACAAAACATCTACCCTTGGGAAGTGTTTGTATATATACCCTCCAGATAGATGCTCTGTCCACTACACCTGGACGTGGTCTGCATGTCAGTTTTGATTACTTTGGTCATACTCTAGATTAACGCTTAGTCTCTAAATATATATAATTTTGGTAGTAACAAATAATCCCATTTAAATTGAAAAGGAGCCCTAGTGATTGGGAGATTCAGAACCTGGGGAAATGTAGACTTTTTTTCATTCAGGGCTTTAGCATTGCAGAAAGGGCTGGGTAAAATGGAAAAACAGGGACTGTTAGACACGATAGTGATAATTTCTGGTGTCCCCGCAATGATATTGCTGGAATATTCCTGAAAGCAGTGTAAAACCACACTCACTCACTCATAATAGTGACATCAATGTACTGGTGTGCAATTCTGACAGATCAATTTGAAGAAATATCATGGAGGGTTAGAATTCCTGCCCAGCAAATACTGAGGTACCCCTTGCCTTGAAATGGGTAGAAACTGGGTAGAACTTGCCCCCCAAAATGCACAATTAGAGGCAGGTATAACGTTGAGAAATCTTTCCAATCCTGATAGTGATAGAGCTAAGGGTGACAACATTACTCATCAAGTTGTAACAACTTACACCAGGGAAAGAAACATTTCAAAATGTCCCACAAGACCACAGGACCAGTGAGGGGACAATAATTAGTGGTCCTGTCTGTACTTCACTGGTCCAAAATAACATTCGTAGATTTACTAACTATCAATACAAAAGTCACTGGCCATCAGGACTACTGCAAACTTAGTTAAGTGGTCCTGATGACTTTTGACTAGCCTGGGACCACAGGACCAGCGTAAATTTCACACTGCTACACTGCCAACCACGTACTGTCCACAGTACAAATGTTACACAACATCAAGGGTAATATTACCAGAGGTGTGGAAACCTCACTCTTAGCATGCCTTAAAGCTTTGCGTGGTTGTATTTCTGCAAGCTGTGATTCAGTCATTAAGGGTCAAACTAGGTTAAACAGTTTAGCACCTCCGGATTGTAATGTGTATGACACAGATATGTCTGCAATCACACTAGCCTGTATGAGTGTCAGGCCATGTAGAGTTGTATACCGCTGTGTGATCACATTAACACCCATCGTCATCCACTGTCACCATTACAACTGCTTTCCTAAATTTAGACATTTGACAGACATATAAGGTCAAAATTCCTGATTAATATCATCAATATTTGTAAAAATAAACATTCTCTGACAGAATCATCTGATGCACTATCATATCTGAAACTCTGCAAAGGTCCTAATATTAAGTTCCTTCTTCTCCCATGTTAAAATCAGGGACAAAGTTACAAAGCAGGAATATATCTCAGAGATTCAAAACAAAGTGATCTTTGCAGGCAAATTGTGATAAAATTGTGATATTGTTCAAAATTGCATTTTCTTAAATATTTCTATTTTCCTGAATTCTAACATGCTAAAGAAGTGGGAAATCAGTAATTCCAATTGGGAATTTTTCTGTCATTTTCTGCATAGTTGGTGCCAAACTTCAGCCTCTGAAAATGATCCAGGTAATTCCTTACAATATGAAAAACAATGAACAAGATCATAATTGCCCCAACTGATCACATAAGGCAAAAGGCTCTTCCTGCCATGTCAGGAAAGAATACATCAATGCCATATTCTAAAATTAGGATACAGTCATCTACAAAAAGACATCATGTTCTAAAATTAACTTATATAGTCACCTGTTAAAGACATCATAAACATGTCACTTTAGAAGTGGTCAGATGATGTTTACAAAACATGTTGATGATTGTACAATAAAATACATATGCACATGTTGTGTTGGTAATTCATTAAGCATGTTAATTGTTATGAGTGAACAATTTGTGTGTTGATGAGTGTTTTAGTAGTTTAGTCCTGGATCAGGTAATGACACATGGAATCGCTGACCCCAAGAATCCCAGGTTGTGATCAATGTCACTTGACCCATAATCACACTGTATGAAACAAAAATAAATGTATTATGGAATTCTGCAGTCTATTTGAAGCATTGAATGGCTTTGTGTATAATAAAGTATCCTAACATCCTGTACACAAACAGCATATTAGCATGTTTTAGGGTCTCTAGCTTTGGGCTAACTGGACAATGGACAGGACTTATGCTTGTCATCTGATATGTAGGATTTTAAGAGGATGCTTGAAGTGTATTCTTATTATCTTTTACATCAGATCAACCATGTAAATCTGTTCACATCAGGGTTAGAAAGGCCCATTACATGGCACACTTGTCTAAATTCTATGTGATAATAAACTGATACTAGTACTTGACACTGACAGGCCACTCATCTCAACAAACTATCCTTATCATTGATTTATTACTGTTTCAGGGTTTTTCTTGATATTTAGCTTGTTTGACAATGGTTGCATCTGGCAGGTATTGTCATAATTGGTTTCAGGTTTGATTAGTTCAAACAAAACAAATACAAAGAAAATCGATTGTCTAAGACCTTGTCCACGTCAAAGTAGGCTTCCCTTACAATATAGCATGATCATGGTCTTGTGATAATGCAGGGGTTATCAGATTACACATAAGTAAAATCTGTGTTCAATCCACAGTGATATCACACTATGCAATCATATTTCCGTTCCTATAATAAATCATTCATACTTCTGTACAAATTAGGGTGACATGAGTACAAATGATAGATAACGGCTAAGCAGAAAAATTCAAATTCTTCCGCCACCGGTTTGATGAGACAACAAGTGTTCGACCAACGTATGTCAAAAGAGGTCATGTGTAGTTTTCAAAATTATGCCATGGTTTTCAAACTGTGTCAACACACGCTTGTTGCACAATATTTGTCAACTGGTGGAAGTATGTTAGCATAGAAGCAAGGTCATGTTCTGCCATCAATGTACCTTCCGTCACCTAACAGCAGTAAGGAACTACACAGTTTTTTAAAGGAAAAATCGAAAAAATGTAGAAACACTCACTGCGCGAACCTGTCGTCGGAAACAGTAACACACAAAACTCCATATTTTAGCTGCCAATACGAAGAATCCACGCAAACCCATTACAAGGTACTTGAACATTAGTGTTGAATGATTTCACCCCCTGACTCTCGATGAAAAAGATGTAAGAAAGAGCAGAAAATAAACAAGATATGGGCCTAGTGGCTCCTCGATGTAGTGCCTAGTTTCACATCTACACCGCCATTAATTCCCACAGGTCAGTGCGCACCGGTCAACAGGAAATAACCTTTCAATTGATTCCGGAAGTCTTAGATATATCATTTTCGTCACAACTAATGTTCTTTCATTTTCAGACTGACGAGTACTCGTGTGAATCTGTCCATTGCTCTTCACTCACTTTTGAAATGTGGTGTGAAGTCACTAAGTGGTGGCATTTCTATTGTACCATACAATTAATGTTCGACAATGCCTTTACGCGGCAGTGTAAAGTTAATTTATTAGTCTACCATCAGCAAGTTAGCATAGCAACATTCTACATTTCCTTCACTATAAATATTTTGAGTACCGAGCTATATTTATGGTGATATGCATCGTCCAAAACTGATGTTGCAATAGGATAGTTCAAAGCTATAACACATGTTATTTCTGAAGCGCTCATAAAAAATGGAGGACAAAACGCCAACGTTACATTAAGTTGAAAAAATGCATTCTGAATTTGTGGACAAAGGAAAGAGTTAATGTGAAATGGGGTTCAGCGTGTCGTTAAAGGTTATTGCCCTTATGGAGCGACGTGCATTCACTTTGTACTCGTCCGGACTCCAGGCAAGGTAACAACAAGCATCTTCTGATCGCCAACAGACGCGCTATCCACTAATCCGTGGAGGCGGTCTCTAAGCCCTTGCGTTGTCGCCTGGAAATACAGAGTTGTGTCCCTTGGCTGTTGGGATTTGATGTTTGTTGGGTCATACCGTGATTAGTTCCACTTGTGACATTGGTGTTGGCATTGACCTTATCTCAAAGAGACACGGGATGCTCAAAGGTCTAAGGCGCCACAGAGTTGCGACCCTTTGCTATGCCAGAACCCGCATGTTGTGTTCCAATCTTTTATTTGCCTGAATGTCATTCTTGGGTTTGCTTCTTGAGAAAAAAACACACGCTTACATGTTTCACTAAAGTGGTAAATATCTTAGGCCTGAAATACTGTATAGCTGTTGCACCATGAAGATACGACTGACACTTGTCTTCAACACCTTCATGCTGAGGGATCTAGTTGTAAAGCGTACTGGATTGATAAGTGGGTATCGTCGTACACTGAGTGACTGACTGAGTTTGGTTTTACGCCGCTTTTAGCAATATTCCAGCAACATCACGGCGGGGGACACCAGAAATGGGCTTCACACATTGTACCCATGTGGGGAATCGAACCCGGGTCTTCGGCGTGACGAGCCAACGCTTTAACCATTAGGCTACCCCACCGCCCCTATCGTCGTAGATGATGTCAATGAATTATCAAAGTGAGACTTGATTATTTACAGGTCTACGTCATATAGTTGGTCTATATTGTTGAATGCAGCGAAAAACAACAGTGAGTGAGTGAGTGACCGGGTTTAACGCCGCTTAGAGCGTGTCAGTTTGACATGGGAGGAAAGTAATGCACGTCTTAGACATTACCACTTTGGTAAAACCCACGAACATGGTACTGAGGAACCCAGAAACACACACGGCATGACTATGATATTCCAACCCACGATTAGGAGTTTCTGGTAAGCCTTATAGTTCTATATTGTGGCACCCCAGGAGGCAGGGCAATCAAAGGAACTCGAAGTCAAGAAGTGCAGAGTATTTCACACATCAAATTATTCTGTCATGCCTGGCACGGGAGAAGAAGTCGTTTCAGGTATAAAATTCGCTGTGCAGAGTTGCCTTCCTTAGAAGCCAAAGACCATTATTTCCAGTCCCAGTTCGACTCAGTTATATTTCTTGGATTGTCAGCACCATGTCCGTGCTGATTGATTGCATGAACGTGGTATAAATGTGTACGACCTGCGCCAGTTCGGACTTTCTTCAGGGCTTAGGGGTAGCCTAGTGGTTAAAACGTTCGCTCATCATGCCGAAGACCCTGGTTCGATTCCCCACATGGGTACAATGTGTGAAGCCGATTTCTCGTGTCCCCCGCCGTGAAATTGCTGGAATATTGCCAAAAGCGGCGTAAAACCATACTCACTCACTCTTCCCGGTTAAGCTGACACACCGTGATATAACTGGAACATTGTTCAAAGCGGTGTTTCACACGAATAACTCACTCACTCAAGTTGACATGGCAAATTCACTGACCCACCGCATGCACCGCACACCAAAAATAACCCTTTCTTTTATTACATGAAAAATTCTGCTTGTGCTCTGACGTTCACATGCCTATATTGGTTTGGAAAACACTGCATGTGAACTAATATGCATATACCATATATAATATTCATGTTTCTGAACTTAGATCAAATGAAATTGTTTTGGAGACAGGTTCTCATGTATTGTATAATAATTGGTTTTGTGCCCCCAAAACACCAAAAAAACAACAGAGGTGGAAACACTGTAAAACTTTTTTCCGTTTTTTTCTTAAACTTCTGTTTTAATTATTATCCGCTTTGAAATGTTGGTAAACAGAGGAAGGTTAGAAATCCTCTGACATGTCTTCCTCCCCAAAACTATTTTGATTTTGGCAGGCCAAAATTACTTTCGAGAAAACACAATTTGAAATTGTATTCTCAATTTGGTCGCATTTATTCTAAGTTGTATAGTTATCTCACAGCAAAATAGCTACAATATTATTTATGCAATGATTGCTCCCCCATCTCCACTCCCACATACCCCTCCCCCAATCCCCTCACTCACTCACGCATTGTTTCGCAAAATAAGTGCGTAAATAATGCCTGAGGTGAAATGTCTGTTTATTTGTCCGTGTATTTGTTTTCTTTTTTTTCCACCCTTCCGCCCTCTTGTCAGTTGAGGCTGGAGATGAGAAACACATTTAGAAACATGCACAAAGATGGTTCCCGTATCCAAAACCCAACCCGTACTGACCTCAAATGGGCATTGAAAATGATGATCAGCAAATAACTAATACGATTAAGGCTATATATGTTTCGACAATTTGTAAGACATGAATTTTTATTTATTTATTTGTAAAATGCACATGAATTGCTAGTTACGTCATATGAAGTCCTTTGTAGTAGCTCACTTGTAGAAAGTAGTTGTATCGAAAGTAGCATCAACCACCTGCTAATGGCGTCTGTAGAAACGAAATCTGAGACCTGAGGTTTCATAACTGATTGAACTTTACAGGAACATTTCACACCAGTGATTAGATGTCATAAACCAATGGATACAAGACTGCACGAAGCAGTTCGCTATGGAAGTGTGAATGACGTCAGGAAAGCTCTTGGACAAGGATATGATCCGAATTTAATAGGCCTTTACGACTGGAGTCCCGTCCACGAAGCTGCTCACAACGGCGAAACAGAAATACTGACATTGCTCTTGAATAACAAAGGTGAAGTCAACCATAATTATATGATCACTTGTTTACCTTTTTTCTGTTCAAGACGTGTGAATTATTTTTACGGATTATGTTTTTTTAATGTTGGCAAGTGACGTTGTACTTGTTTTCCAATCAATGTTTACCGAAACCCGTCCTCGTTGCAGCGATTAGTGAAGTAAACATCGAAAAGTAAACATGAATTGTTTTGCACGTAGCTAGGTGAAATGTATACTCTATTTCGATTGATAACACTGTGCAAATAGGTGTCGTGTTGTCTGTCCAATAAAGTCTACTTCTCATGAAAGCTTTCACTCAACAGTTTGCAATCTGATGATTATGACAGGTCAGAGAATTTAAGTTGTTAGTTGTCATTTTCACAGACACAGATTTTTGTGGCACTGACAATTCTTTCTTTTCGAACCCCATGTTGATTGTTCAGCCTGGAAGTAGTTATGTCATGCAGTGATTGAATCCTGGTGTTTACAATATTTCAAACAATGTCGCATTTGACAATGTGCACTCTTGAAAAACAACCCAGTGATAAGGTTTGTTTGTTGTTTTTTGCCACTGTCAGTTAATCTTGAGTTTTCACTTGGTGGCATCTGAATAATTAAATCTAGGTCAGACAAGCTAGTAGTTAGATTATGAAGAAAAATTAATGCTACACCATGATAAACACCACAGAGTCCCATTATCTCAGTGATAATCTTCCTTTTGTAATGTAAACTTTATTGATAAACTGTATCGATGTTGATTTGGATACTAAACAACCCTGCAGTACACAACCCTGTGCACTTAAAATAACCCAATCATCAGACGGTAGGTGACCAGATGGTGGACACACGAACAAGTGCAGACATATAGTTGTAGGGATAGCAATTTGCAGTATCTTTGGACAAAATACTGTGACTATGTGTCCCAGTTCACCCACCTGCAAATGGGTACCTTGTGAGGATGTGGCTGTGTGATAACTCGCTGCACCTAGTCGGCTGCATGAGTTGAATACTCCCCAGGGAGTTGATTTGGTTAAACTTAAACAGAAAGCCAGAAAAAAAGACATCCGTTGATCAAGAAAACACTCAAGGATCTTGAGCATGTACTAAAGTACTGTCGGAAATAGAAAAAAGTTTTTAGGCTGTTACTCTGTATCCCTAAAATTTACACAACTGCAAGTAGCATATAGTCGAAATAACCCACTTTGGCCTAACTGGGCGTATATATACATATACTATCATCATCATCAACAACATGATGCGTTTTCCAACATAATGCGCATTTCGCACACAGTCTGCATCATTTAACCATCTTTTTATGTCCATCTTAAGGAGATGTTTGGAAGCAGTAGATATCAAATGAGTATTATTTCAGACTTTAGGCCAATAACTTACTTGCTTCATGGTAACCACAAATGTTCATGATGTATTTGTTTTTAGAACAGATCGATTAATTACTTGTCTTCAAGATTTTTATTGCAAACAACCATAAACAACTTGGAACTAAATGAATATCTCATAAATTATTATTATAAAGAAAAACCTAAACACACTAACAGATGTATGAGAAAATGTAATTCTGGCATGTGCAACATTTCCGTAAGAAACTGTTTTGGAAAAAACACTACAAATGCCAAAAGACTAGCAGCATGTTGTCAATTAAAAATGTAAACAATAGTGATGCTATATCATCAGAAGCATAAAATCATTGATGTTAATGCAAAAGATAAAATATCCAAATCTTTCAACATGTTTGGTCTTTGGAAATATATTTTTGAACTTGAACTGACCAATAGCTTATATCTATCTTTATAGAAACAGATCAACAGGACCAATAATGACTAATGTGGTGTTTTTCTTGTCATGGTCAGTGGCAGAAGCCTTTGATCCTTGTCCAAACTTGGCCTTGAGCATCATTTTAATACATTATATATTTTATAAGTTTGGGCTTGTGATCGTTGCACTTCAGGGGTGGTGGGGTAGCCTAGTAATTAAAGCGTTGGCTCGTCACGCCGAAGACCCGGGGTTTGATTCCCCACATGGGTACAATGTGTAAAGCCCATTTCTGGTGTACCCCGCTGTGATATTGCTGGAATATTGCTAAAAGCGGCGTAAACCCATACTCACTCACTCAAATCCTTGTCTGTGCAATAAACTGTGCATGCGCTATTTTCTTAATGTTAATGCAAAAGTATTTTTATAAATCAAATCCTTCCCTCATCTGAAGTGTTGCTAAATGTTGGCCGTGACCTGAAGGATTATAGATAATCTCTTAATCTGCAGGTAAGCATGATTAACCTAAAGCTTCAACTGTTCCCAATGCTAGGGTTGTGAATGGAATAATTCCTAATCAGAACATTCATTAACATGCTCAGTTGTATTGCGACCGCGATATTGCATTAAGTTTTCTGTCGTTTAATGGAATGTGTAAATTTATACCTATTGTGTATCAGAGTATGAATAGTATCTGGTTTTCCTGACCATTGACTGATTGTATTGTAAAACATACTGAGATTTTATTCATGTTTGGTAAGGATATGTAAGAATGTTATGTCAAATGTTGATAAAGTTACCGGTATGTAAATGTCATGGACATTTTTCTCTTTTGAAATCACAGCAAATGAACCGCAGACTCATGAACCCGGTGTTTGAGTACCAGGTGCAAATATTGTTGAATTTGAGATTACAATTTGCCAACCCACAAAATACTAAAACAAAAACATTTAGATTCTGTAGTTTACTTTGAAAGGCACTTTCTAAGAGGCATTATGTATTCAAAGTATAAAGTAGCTCAGGAAAAAGCCAGGACAATGTGTCCTCTTTTCAGAATCCTTATGTTTCAAATTTTCTATGAAAGTATTTAATCTTTCATTATCATGTTTCTTGACAATCCTTCCCAAAAGCCCATTTCTGGGGCTCGCCACCATGATGATAGTGTTGGAAGTGGAACATTGTCAATAGTGCCATGAAACCTTCTTCATGCAATGTCAGTCTTTGCCAAACACGTTTGAGTCAACAAACTTGAACTGGTCTTATGGCATAATTTACAGTACATTTTTCCATTTATATATTGATAAAATTTGCTGAGCTTGATCAACCAATATTGTGTTACCATGACTCTGGCATCAGACTAGTGAGTTTGTTTGAGGACAGTTCTAATCTGAAATACAGCTGTATATGAAGGTCACAGTTGTGTAAAACACCACAACTTACACTTTGCAGAGTTTAATCTCTTTGGCATGCCAGAATCCAATGATAATTAGCCAAAATGCCAGATTTGATGATTGTGATTCATGCTTTGTTGGCACCATGTCCTTGGTCATGGGTTTCTGCAAAGAGGTAACAGTCAGAGACCCGCATCACGTCAAATGTTCTTTTCAGTTCTAACAGACATCCTAGGAGTTGACCAAAATACTGTTTCAACTAATATTGGCATTAATCAAAACTTACTCCCTCTAAAGTTTGGTTATTTGGTTTTGGTCAACAAGCTGAGAGGCTTAACTAAGGTAAAAGAAATGTTTGTGTAAAGTTTTGGTTAATTCCTTGCAAATAAACATTATTATGTTAACAAATGAAAAAGATAATAGATAAAACACTTATTCAAGTATTCAATATTTTTATATTTTTTGCAAAATTTAGAGAAAGGTGTTCTGTAAAGAAAGCAAAAGAAACAGCATGGAAATTCATGAAAAACGTCAAATATGTCTTTTCTTTGTTTCAGCCGAGGAATTGACAAACAGTGTTGAAGGGTATTTGTGATTGCTTCTGCTATCTATTTAGTGTCTAACGTTAATTACATAAACTGCTTGTAACTACATCTTTCCTCCTAGCTGTTAGATCTGTTGTCAATGTCTGTCAATCAGGGAACTGTAACTGTAACTCCTAACCCATGGCCAGCTTTTAGTAGTTGTGGCAATAAACAGAGCTGTAATCAGTAATCATTATACCCTTTTCACATGCACATTTTACATCTGTGAGCATACATGTGAGTCTTACAGTCAACTTCATTAGGGTCTATAAGTAGATCATGGCACTTCGTGAGACCTACGTACTTCCAGTGACAAACGATTCATACCGTTTCGAATGGTCTGATGGTTGTCAGTTGACAGTAAGAAACCAATAATCCTTGCAGGAATAACAAATTTCCAATCTAACCATTCCCAAATTAGCCAACTGGTATGACTGTCAATAGCTGTGACATTCTCTTCCCACAGAGGTTACTTGTCATATCTTCCTATGAACCTTTGTTCTAATACGGCCATATTTCCCAGTTCTCGTAAAATCCCCTAGTGGCCAAAAATCACAACACAAATTATCTCCCTTCTTTCTATCCAATCAGAACATGTGTTACATCGACTTATATTAGATCCAACTTGACTACTACAAGCAAATGTGGGGCCACAAAGATCCCTCCTCAGCTGGGGACTTGTGTTGATGTGACACACAAGACATTTATTTTTAATGGCTAGCTTGTCAGTTGTCAACGAGGGCGATGGAGACGCCATTGATCCGCCATACCATGACTGAGTTCTGTCTAGAAGAAATGTTTGCGGGTTCTAGTTTTCTCGAAGCATACAGAAATTACCAAGGCCTTGCGAATGATCACTTTTGAAACAATGTTGCTGATTGCACAACTAAATCTGATTGCAACCAATCACAAATCCTGAACACTCGCACCATGAAAGGGCATGAAAGGGTTCGTAGATTAGAACAGAGGTTACGTGGTCTAGTAAAGAAGATATGACAAGTAACCTCTGTGGGAAGAGACTGCAGCTGTGACAGCCAAGCACCAGGTCGCACACTTGGCCTGGTCTAGTAAAGTCATTATTACTGGATGTAAATTTACGGTCACATATGGAAATAAACACACATATGTATAGATGTGTGAAATGTGAATGGGGATGTAGGTAGGCAGGGCTCCAGATAAGGGCCCAGCCATGATGCAAATTTAAGGGGTATGTACGGATAAAAATATATAGCACATATGATATATTTACTCACATGGGAAATAATTTGGAA